TCTCAGTTCCAGCAGACGTCCGGGGATTAATATATTTGGCCTGTTTTGAGTCACAAACCCATGCCTGATCCCATCACTTTGGTCGTGCAGTTGGCCTGTCTTGCAATAGCGAAATAAGAATGGAAGAGGGATGATTTACAAAGGAAAAAGATGGCTTCTTTTATTAGAAGAACAGATGCTGTCCAGGCAGTAACAATTGGTGTCCACTACAGATTTCTCTACCATTCTTTCCCGGGTCTCCCAAAGCCAGTTTTGCATGTGCCACCTAACCTCTGCCTTACATCAGGCCATTCTAACACATCCCCAGTATTTGGGAAAAAGCAATCTAGTAGTTCTTGCTTGTTGTGGCAACAGACTGATTGAAATTTAATTTCTGTTGATGTAGATTCTGTTGGTAGATGGTTCCTAGCTAGAATTTTCAATTGAGATTTTCTTTTCTTAGGTGCTTTCATGATGATAAGTTCTTTCTTTCCCTCTCTTCATTTTTTGAAAAGAGAGTACAGATTTTTATACATAGTACCTAAAACCCAAGTAATGACTCTTTATTAAAAATGAAATTATCCCTTTGGAGGGAATAGATGACTTAGAATTCGTATTTTCAACTAAGAAAGGAAGTATAATTTAAATAGTACAATTTTTCCAAGTTAAGAGACTAAAACAAAATCCATATTTTAAAGGCATAATGCTTTCAACACAGTTAATTGCCTTTTAGAGGATAGTAGATTATAATCTCATGGTCCAAAAGAATTGAGAGGCCCAGTATGATTGTATGTTGAAGTCTGTAAATGTTCAGTTGCCATTATGGACTTACAGAAAAACATTTAAAATGTTGTTTGTTTATTCAAACCCTATTTTGAGGAATCATCATTTAGGTTCAGACTTTCTTATCTGGTGATTTTATAAATTTGGGTATTTCTTCAGTTTTAAAAATGATTGATAACGAACTTCTTTAGGTACTGTAGTAAATTGCTTCCTCGGTGTCTCAGTTATCTAGTGCTGCTGTAACAGAAATACCACAAGTGGGTGGCTTTAACAAACAGAAATTGATTTTCTCTCAGTTCATGAGGCTAGAAGTCCCGATTCATGGCATTAGCTCTAGGGGAAATCTTTCTCTTGCTCTTTGGGGGAAGTTCCTTGTCTCTTCAGCTTCTATTCCTTGGCTCCTTGGTGATCTTCATGTGGTGGGGCATTTGTGTTTCCCCATCTCTGCTTGTTCACTTGCTTGTTTAATCTCTTTTTTTATCTCAAAAGAGATTGATTTAAGACACCCACGCAAAAAAACCAAACCCACAGCCTTCCAAGTCGATTCCTACTCAGAGTGACCCCGTAGGACAGAGTAGAACTGGCCCATAGGGTTTCCAAGGCTGAAATCTTTACGGAAGCATACTGCCACATCTTCCTCCCACGAAGTGGCTGCTGGTTTCAAACTGCCAACCTTTTGGTTAGCAGCAAAGCGCTTTAGCCACTGTGCCACCAGGGCTCTGTCCAATTTAAGACACACCGTACACTGATACTGTCTCATTAACATAACAAAGAAAACCCATTCCCAAATGGGATTATAACCACAGGTATAGGGGTTAAGATTTACCACACATATTTGGGGGACACATTTCAATCCATAACACTCAGTCTTCTTAAAAGAAGGATGATATTCTTGAGTCTTACATAGCTATTTAGTAGATTAATATTTGTCTAGGAGCTGTCATTTAATGGATCAGATTAATCTTCCCTGTTCTTTGGTTGGAGGAAGAAATGCATTTATGGTGCAAAAATAAACTTGGAGGATATTACTCAGCCATATAAGGGAATGAAGAACTGATACATGCTTACAACGTGGCTGAACCTTGGAAACATGCTAAGTGAAAGAATACAGACATGAAAGACCACATTTCTGTGATTCCATTTGTATGAAATGTCCAGAACAGGCAAAACCATAGAGAAAAAAATTAGTGGTTGCCAGGGGCTAGAGGGAGGGAGGCATGGGTTATATCTTTTTGAGGTGATGAAAATGTCCTGGAATTAGATGGTGGTTATGGGTGACCATTATGAATATACTATAAAATATTTTAAATGGTTAAAATGGTGAATTTTATGTGTGTTATTTTTTCCTTTTTTAAAATTTTATTGTGGTAAAATATATATAACATAAAATTGGCCATTTTAACCATTTGTAAGTGTACAGTTCAGTGGTGTTAATTATATTCACAGTGTTGTACAACCATCACTGTGAATTTTATCTGAAAAAAAAATTGGAGCCACATAAATTGACTATTCTAATTAACTACTTAAAAGGATAGAAATATACTGGCATTAGTTAAATCAAAAAGAATGGAAATTTAGATAGAATTTCTTAGAAGAAATCTGTATGATTTTATTTAAGGTAATAGTTCTCTTTAACCAAATTTTTTTTCTAAAACTTCAGAACACCTACCAATACTTACAAATATTTCCCACCATAGTTATCCATATTGTTTTAGTTGACAGGATAATCCTGTATTTCTGTCACACATAAATAAATATATGTAGTCAGTTGTATTTATTAAGTGGAATACAAAATTTGTCATTCAATATTTGTATATGTTAGTCTGCATCCCATTGCCATCAAGTTGATTCTGACTCAGCGACCCTATAGGGCAGAGTAGAACCGCCCCATAGGGTTTCCAAGGAGCGCCTGGTGGATTCAAACTGCCGACCTTTTGGTTAGCAGCTAAATGCTTAACCACTGTGCTGTAAGGGGCCATATTTTAGCTGTTCCAGTTCTATCCTCTAACCCCAATATTAGGGCAAGGGGGAGAGGTGCACAGTGTGGCAGGCTCCTCAGCTATTTTCTAACTACTTAACCTATAGATAATTTGTAAACAAAGTAAAAAAAAGCTAGTGTTGCCTTAATTTTTTCTTCAGGCTCGATTTTATTCTCCAGCCACCATATTTATTGATGAGATAGATTCCATTTGTAGTCGCAGAGGGACTTCTGAAGAACATGAAGCAAGCAGAAGGGTGAAAGCCGAGCTGCTGGTTCAAATGGATGGTATGCGTGTGTACAGATCTGAATTGATTTGGGGGTGGGAGGTTGTGAAGCGTCTCCAGTTCCAGTGGATCAAGCTCTACCCATAGTGCTAACCCAAGGCTTTTAATAGGTGTTCTAACTCCAGACAAACTAGAGGGGTCTGGCAAATAGTAAAACTCTAGGATTAGTTCCTGGAGATTGGTAGAAATAAATTTGGTGCACTGACCGTGGTGACATGCCAGAAATAATGACTGTTCACAGGGCACCCTTTGGCACATAAACTCATCTCTTATTTTTAGCCTTGAAATTTAAGTAAATGCAGATCAGCTGGCCTTATTTAGAGAGGGATATGTTTGCTTTTGAAATTTTTTAAAAATTGATATGCACCTGAGCCAAGTTGGTCTTTTGATTAAATCTATTTTGAGTCATATTTTTCCATGTCATAAAAATTACTTTTTCTTGGACTGCAAATTCACATATGTATCAGTTAGCTTATAAATTTTAAACAAGCTCAAAGACTGCATTACCTTGTGTTGTGCCAACTATTTAATGATCCTGAAATATCTGAGCTTTATTTTGTATAACCTGCCTTTTTTTTCCTCCCTCTCTCCTTAACCTTTTTTTTAGGTGTTGGAGGTGCTTCTGAAAATGATGACCCTTCCAAAATGGTCATGGTTCTGGCAGCTACTAATTTTCCCTGGGATATTGATGAGGCTTTAAGACGACGTCTTGAAAAAAGGATCTATATTCCATTACCATCAGGTATCTTCATTTAAGTCTTGTTAATGCTCAGGTGGTTTTATTTAGAAGCTTTAAAATTTGGTATTAACTTTTCTTTAAGAGGCAAATGGTATCTTTTACTACTACTACTACTACTAAGTAGTCTCTGGCCATTTGAATTTGGCTATATCTAGAGCCTGAAAGCCTTGATACTAGGAAACTAAAAATTCAGTGAGAGGTACGCGTTTTGAATTTTCAAGCAGATGAGCTCTAAGAATTGGGAAACAGTTTCCTCAAAGTAGGCTTAAGAAATAATAATACACTATGTTTATATTGAAGACCTATAATTTTTTAATTTGTTTCTACCTTTAGCAAAAGGCAGAGAGGAGCTATTACGGATAAGTCTACGTGAGCTGGAGCTGGCCGACGATGTTGACCTTGCAAGTATAGCAGAAAACATGGAAGGTTATTCAGGTGCAGACATTACCAACGTGTGCAGGTATGAATTACTTTGGAAGCATACAAGTATTTATGCTGAAGTAAGATAGGTGAAGAATAAAGACCCACATTACAGTCTACAGTCAGAGACATGAGTTTTGGTTTTAAGTTAGTGTTAGCAGGGTCTGGTAAGATACATGGTTATCTTATATGTCAGTGAAGAGCCTGCAGTCATTTGAAAGCTACAAGTTCAAGAAGCTAACATTAGAACAAATTTGTGTAAAATAGAAAATCAGTTATTTTCTTGGATAAAAATATTAATGTTGGTACCTTCCTTCACTTCGTTATGTAGGAAATATGATTGAGAAATATATTGATTTGGCATAATCTTGTTTTCAGTGTAGGTATTCTAATGTGTTAATAGGAGAGCAGTATAAAGAAAAAGGACCATCTCTAATCTGATTCCAGTAAGTTTTGTCCCCATCTGTTATTAATTCAGATGCTTGTTATTAGCAAGGTGCTCGACTGCACTAGTTTACTCATCTATAAAGCAAGCATGCCATGTAGGTTGTTACGGAGTTCAGGGATAACGTGTGTATATAAAGCAGCTGTATGTTGGTGTCCCTTTGCATAAATGGTGACTGCCATTAAGCATGAAACTTGATGAAAAGAGGTGCTTGAATCTGAAGTTTTGTTCTGTTTTTCTTTACAAAAAATTCTAAAAAGAGCACTAATACAGAGAGGGAAAGGAGAAACCACCTAGCTTGATCATCTAGCTTTTACTATTTATGTAGAAAATATTTAATTTTCAAGCTAACAGGATCTCTCCTGTGTCTGTGGTGCTTGTTCTTTATTTTATTGGACATTTATAATGAAGTTCAATTATAAAAGTTATACCATTAACTTTTATTTCATTTATTAACTCTTATTTACACCACTAACTGTGTAGCAACACATACATTGATCCACTGGAGCTGGAGACACTATTGGGTATTTAAATTGATTAGCACCTGTATTTCATTATGGAAGATATAACTACTAAAAAACAACTCAGAACAGGCTTTGTATTCATTCCGATACCAGATTCTATGCAGTACTGTATATGTGTAACAAGATCATAATTAGAGAATGTTATAGCACATGCATTGAAAAAATTTTCTGTTCACAGGTTTTCATTCAAAGTATGACTTTGTAAGATTTCATTATTTTTTACATTTAAAACCTAGGGATGCATCTTTGATGGCAATGAGAAGGCGTATTGAGGGTTTGACCCCAGAAGAAATCCGAAATCTTTCAAGAGAAGAAATGCACATGCCTACAACTATGGAGGATTTTGAAATGGCTTTAAAAAAGGTTTCTAAGTCAGTATCTGCTGCAGACATTGAAAGATATGAGAAATGGATATTTGAGTTTGGATCATGCTAAATTCTCACATGTAAACTGTGAGGAAACCTGCCTTAAGTGTTTGAATAATAATTAAATGTAGTATTTCATTACATTGAGTGCTATATTTTTTTAAACTTTCATAATGATAAGATTAAAAAAACCTTATGATTCTGAATAAAGTTAATTTTTTTAAGCTGCAAGTAAATTTGTTTTACTTTAACGTTACCTTTTTTCTATTTCCCTGACCACAAATGTTAACAACAAAAATGCCATTACTTTAGCTTGCAAAATTGTCTTTATAGGCACGTCTGAGTACGTATAGCATCTTCTATTCCACTGTCTGCTGCTGCTGTTCCTTCTAGCAAGGAGAATAAGACTGGCTCCAGCTCCCTGGGTGCCACTGGATGCAACGGAAAATTACTGAACATTTTTACACAAGTAGCCAGTAAAAGCATGAACCAGGCCAGTGTGCCTTCCTTTCTGCCTGATGTTAGGGTAGTTTCCCTTCTCTTCCTGGGAGAGCAGGCAAGTCCTTCATTTTACTGTGCATTTAAAGGGAGAAAATATACAACTTTGCTGGATTTTATTCTAACTACATAAGCGGCTACACTATAGGCAAGTAGATATTCCTAAGCCTGTGCTGTTCATTGTACTCTAATCAAACCAATTTCACGGGTAAGCTCTTATTAACTCATGGATGCTAAGAATAATTAAAATAATACTTCATGGTATAAATAAAAGTTAATAAATGAAATAAAAGTTAATAGTATAAAGTTTTAGGTAAGATTTCCATTTATAATTACTTTAAAGAAATAATTTATTGTATCATTCCAGCCATAGAAGAGAAATCAGCCTCAAGGAGATTAATTAAGTACCTTGCCGTGGTCCCCAGTCTCACTGGGAAGGCAGGAGTCAGGATGGGAATCAGGTGTGCGGACTGCTAAGCCTACTCTCCCAGTTAGCCTTATAGCCTACTTAAGTTTTCTCTAGAATCTATAAGCTAATGCTTAATGCATGAAATAAGACCCTGTCATCATTTGGAGTGTTTTTTAACAATTTATGGAGTGAGGAAGGGCATAAGAAATAAAGTATTACTAGCTGAGTGACTTTAGGATCAAATTATAAATTGCATGCTGCTATTTATTCTAAAATTTGGAGCCAGTACTCACATTTCACAGGGCTATTATGATTACTAATTAAAAACAGGCAAAATGAAATATCCCTCACACACAGATACATACATAGCTAGCTTAAATATAGTTAAAAAAAAATCAGTCATTACATTCTTGGGCAATGTTTTCAATGGTGGGTTGCGACCAAAAATTTTTTTTAATGAAACATAATAGAAGGTATTTATCATGTGGAGTAAAGATATGTACAAGGTCACATTGTCAAACATGTAATATGGGCGATGGTTAAAAAAGTAAGACAAACACTGCTGTGGGTAAATAGGAACCACAAGACCAAGGGCACACTGTAATTCCTTGATATTGACGGACTCATGAACTGTTTTCAACCTTGGTTTCAGCTAGTGTAAGTGAAAGGCACTACTATCATATATAGGTAATTCTCACCTGGGCAAAGTTCTTATGTAATTTTAACCAAAAAAGCTGTACTTTTTCCCTACCAAAAAAGTTTAGAGTGAGAACATGTCACTATTACTTTTAAATCCTGGTTTATTCAAGGTTAAGTAGTCTTGGTACAGTATTCAATCAAATTGTAATACATTTCAGTAATTTTATACTGAGTCACAAACAATACAAAGGCACGTTGTACTGGATAAAAAAATAAGTGTTAAGTTCCTGAACATTTAAATTAGAATTTCATAAAGTGCTTTTCATAAAGTCTTATATATTATAGTAATTAAGTGGATATAATTTCTTTAACAAAGGCACCTTGAAAAGTTATTGGCACATGGCATTTTGTCTTGCCTTTTTCCCTTTTTGGTAATTCCAAAGTCTTTTTACATGTCTTCTCTTCCACTTTGTTTTAATTGTCCTTAACAGTCCATCATCTGAATAGCCAGCTCTGTTTCTGAAAAAGGTGAACTTGTCACTTTAAAGGTCGATTTTCAGGGAATTTTAGGAGTTTAGCACTTTGTCTAGTGTAAATTGATTCTTAGTGATTTAAAGAAAATTATATTCAAGTGGCAAATGTGGAGGCAGTAGACTAACTGAGAGTCCATGATTTGAGAAGGTGTTTTAAATACATGTTTTATCTTCAAGGTTTTCTGCTTTTTTCTCAGGACCATCTGGATATAAGTTAATAGCTGTCACAGGTATAACATTCATTTTATCCAACTGAAGAATTCCTCTGAAATATAAGATGATTAATTACTATCAAAATCAAACATTTCCTTGGCCTACAGATAGTAAGATACGGCTACTTCACGGTCATAATTAAATACATACCTAGGTTCCTTTCATTTAATAGTTTATCATCGTTGTACAAAAACTCTGAGTCCAGAGTTCACTTTAAGCAAACTGACTGAGGGAATAGAAAGGTATCAAAGGAAGTACATTACTTGGTACTGTAGGGAAGGAAGGGATAGAATAAGTATAGTTCTCCAAAGCAGATGCTAGATTTGCACAGGGTGGGCAAAAAGACGGCCCATGCAGCTTTCTAATGAAAACTCACCACTGGATTGCAACCTTAGACTTTAGGCAGCATTTCTCTTTTTGTTACTCAAGTACCTGACCAGGAGTAGATCTTTGGAGTGGATCTGACCAGCTATCAAAGGTTTTATAAACATTTATAGTAACTAAGGGGCCCTGGTGGCATAGTAGTTAAGAGCTCGGCTACTATCCAGAAGGCTGGCAGTTCAAATCTACCAGCTGCTCCTTGGAAACCCTATGGGGCAGTTCTACTCTCCTACAGGTTGCTATAAGTTGGAATCAACTTGATGGCAACAGGTATATAGTAATGAAAATTGTGTTACTGCCACAGGAATGGACAAACAGATCATCAGAACAGAAGACAGTCCAGAAACAGACTAATGTTACATGGGAATGTAGTTTATAATAAGGTCACATTCCAAGTCAGTGGGCAGACTGTTAATGGGACAATGGCTGCTCCATTTGGAAAACAAAATCAGAATTCTAGCTTAAACTATACACAAAACTGATGGTAAAAAATAAGTTTTAAGAAAACACTTGTAATTTTAAGATGGAAAACCCTAGAAGTCAAAGAAAAATGAATTACTTTGCCTCCAAATTTAAAACTTTTGTACACCATCAAGTGCCATACTACAAATGGTAGTCTGGGATAAAAAAAAAAAAATCTGTAGTAAATACTATATATGTATAAAAGACAAAGGAGCGCCTATATATTAAAGATTACAAAAGGCAATCTAATCGAAAAATGGGCAAAGACTATAAACAGAAGAAATTTAAACAGCTAGTTATCACAAATTCTCAGGAGAATAAGCAAATTTTTATTTTTTATTTTTTGGTCTGTAGTGGCAAACTCAAAAAAGATTACATACACATACCCTTTGACCTAGTAATTTCACTTTTGGGAATCTATTCCACATAACACATGTGCAAAGAAATAAAGGTACAAGAGTATACACTAGAACATTATTAGAAATAATAAGAAGTTGGAAATTACCTAAATGTCCAATAGAGGAATGGTTATACTATGGTATATTCATACTGTGGAACAGTATGCAGCCATAAAAAAGAATAAATGAGTCTATATGTATTGATGGGAAAAGATCTTAAGTTCATGGTTCCCAAACTGCACTGAGGCCCCTGGGGCAGCACAGCAGACTCACAGAGGCACTCAAAGAATTTTCAAAAGACTTCAGGCATGCTACCAAGTTGAGGCAGTTCATGGTTTCAACATTAGATTGCACTACATTCCTTTCAATGAAGTCTTTGCAAAGCTGGGTTTTTGGCGGTTACTATGATACAAAGCAAATACTATGAAAGAACTAACGTTGAACAGGAAATGAGGGTGGCAGTGTCCTACCTGATTCCAAGATACGAGGTTCCGTGCAGTACCCTCTAGGCACACACATCCCGTTAGCAAGGAATTTAAGAATGACATAAAAATATTTTCTTTTGGCCTAGGGGCACCAAAAAAACCACTGGCACACTAAGGGTGCTGTGAACAAGAAAGTTTGAGAACCTCTGTCTTACTGAAAAATGCAGTTTGCAGAACGTAAGAGTCTAGGTTGGTAAACAATTATAATTATCTAGTAAACATATCAAATACATAGAATTTGGATAAAAGACGCCCACCCAGCAGCTGACAATGATTACCTGTAGGTACAAGAATAAGAGTTGAAGAAAAGGGAAGTGAAGGAGAACTTTCACTAATTGCTATCCACATTTCTGTATTGATTAAATCTCTCCCTACCCAGTATCCTCAGTACAACTGCCACTAATAAAGTATATAGCAAATTTGGCTTTTAATTTTACATTGCATCTTTTCCCAGAGGAGTCCATAGCAACGAAAACATTGGTAAAAGAACAATGGAAAAAAAATTACAATACTCTTCTATGCAGGCTTACATAACAAAGGTCAAAAAAAGCAATGAGCTTCCTGGAAGCCAAAGTGAAAGAAGAAAATGGTAAGTTACAAAATTTTCATTATCAGAAAGGAATGGGAATACTAATTCTTCAGGGGAAACCCAAACTAAAAAGTAGGAGGGACACTAATATTTCTTTAGCCTGCAGGTGCTTTGCTTGCATTATGACTTTGATTTTTAACAATCCTTCAAGGCAGGCACTAGTTCCCTGTTACACAGGAAGAAATGGGACTTTCAAAGACCTCTTAACAAGCAAGTGGCAAAGCATATGTTCAAGTTAGGTCTGTTTTCTAGTAAATCCTATGGTCTTTTCAACACAGCACAATGTAATTTAGCTAAACCAAAAGCTGCTCATCTCCATGGAAATTTGCTTCTATTAAGACAATAAAAATGACTGATCATTAAACTTGTGGGAATGCTAACAAATTCATTTTAAAACTAGTAACTTCTTATGGCTTAAAAAAAGTCAAACTATAGAAAAGGGAAAGTGAAAAGTAAGTCTCTCTCCACCTCTGCTCTCATTCTCACTCATCAAAGATAACGTTTATCATTCCAGAAATTTTCTATGCATACACACACACTTTTGTTTTACCCAAATGGGATTATACTGTTCTGCAACTTTCTTTTTCCACCTAATCAATTTTAGATTTCTTTCTATGTCAGTATGCAGGCCTCTTTCTTTCCCAGCTGCACAGAATCCCACTGCGTGTGTGCACCGTTACTTAGTCAAGCCTCCACTGTGGTTCCTGTTTTGCTTTTGTTTCTATTATAAAACAGTGCTGCAGTGAACATCCTGGTATTCTTCTGAAATTAAATTCATTTTTTAAATTGATACTTTGGGGTTGAAAATACATAGTGAAGTCTTCCTGTTTTGTTTATATCTCTTACCATATGCATTGCATTTTCCATTATAGATATTCCTATACTTATCTCCCCCTACTAGATTGAACAGTTTGTCATATTCACATTTGAATCCCTAAAAGTATCGTGATAATAGGTATTCAATAAACGTCTTAATTTTGCTGGAAGATGGGCTAGAAAAAAAGTAGTCATTAACTTCCCTCCTACTTGTCTTACCCTTCCTTAACTTTTATATTCTCTAAAGTATGGTAAATGTAACTCACTTTTCAATCATTAACAATGCTAACATTATTTCAAAAGTAAGAAATACTTACTTGTATTCACAAGCTGGGAAAAGCACTTTTAAGACAGTTATTACCACAGCTGCTCCTATAATTCCAGCCACCATGACATTCAAAAACATAAAAAATACTGGGAAAACACTGCTCCAGAACCTACACAGATCTTTTCTGAACTTTTCCATCCACTGACACATGACCTAAAAAAAGGAGTTCTGATTAGATATGCGAGTTTCATTTGCTCTAAGAATAAACTAAAAATTATGTCCTGATTTTGGGGTGATGAGAATATATCTTGATTGTGGTAGTGGTTACATGGGTGTCCACCTTTGTCAAAATGTGTCTAACTACATTTAAAATGGGTACATTTTATTTTCAAATGTCCCTCAATAAAGTTATTTACAATTTAAAAAATTACATCCTAACAATACAGAAATAGAAATGTTAATATCCTTTAAAATTATTTATATGGTAGTCTAACTATAAATCAAATGAAAATAACTGCTAATTGACAAGAAGTTAGTTAGGCTAGTCCACTTTAAACAAAATGGACTAGAGTCACGTATCTGCTTCCAGTGGTTGGGGGACAAGAGAAGGAAGAGAAAGACAAACATGTTAGCAGCGTTTAGAACAGATGAGAAGTTCGTTGGGCACAAAACATGTTTCTATCCTTGAGACTGAGAGAAGACATGAAGGAGTCCGTGCTTGCATGGACCTTGAAGGCAGTCTGTTATTGACTTGCTCTGAGGGAGGTAGTCCAGGCAGCAAAACGTGGCCTGGGTTTCTTCAGCAACCCCAAATCCCGACCTTCAGGGAGAACTTCTTCAAGGTATAATCTCAGGAGTCCTTTGAGGAAAACTATAGACCCTGCTCAGTTAAATGGAAATTATTTTGGGTAAGGGGCCTAGCTGTGTATTAAAAAAAAAACAACCATAAACCCACTGCTGTCAAATCAATTCCGACTCCTAGTGACTCTATAGGAGAGAACAGAACTGCCCCATAGAGTTTCCAAGGAGCGCCTGGTGGATTTGAAGTATTTAGGAGTATATAGGGAGATAGCAGGATACCGTCTCTGAACCCTGAATATCTGCCCAGTCAGCAGTATAAATGTTACTGGTAATATATAAGTACTTAGTAGGTGCCAAGGTATATTTATATGTGGAACCCATCTTATTTAATCCTTATAACAACCATATGAGATAGGCACTACCTTTATAGATTAAGTGGGTGTCTCATTTTACAGGTGAAG